TTTTATGACACTGTCAAAAATGTACCGAGCATGGATGTCATTACAAATATGCTCCCCACCGGAAACATTCCTGCAGACGCCCATGATAAAACCCCAACAGGACCCTCCTCTAGAATCACAGAGCATATCCCTAGCTGTTGGCAATAAGCCTGCCATGTTCCAAGACCCCCCAGGAAACCGCCCATGCCACCAGCGGAAGACTATCATAAGATCAACAGAAGCAGATTTCCACCCAGATTCTGCGAATGAAGGAGAAGAGGATAGTTGCATGACAGTTCAAGAAGCAACTGGAACCAGGGCTAAGTTCTCCAGAGCAGCGTTATCAGTTGGATCATCACTCCCGGTCGTTTTAGGACATGAGGGGTGCACAGAATCACGGAGAATGAAAGAACGCAAGTCTGCAAAAACTCATCTAATGCCATGCTGATTGGACCCAGAAGCCAACTGAAAAAGCAGTCCATCTGACAATTCGCCCTGAATGAGAATAGGTCCAGATGGAAAGGGCCCCTAAGATCATCCAAGAAGCAGAAAATGTCCAGGTGCAGTATCCAATTGTTAGCATTCCCCCAGTGATATGAGAACCAGTCAGCCACTAGATTGTCTTGTCCACGGAGATATATTTCGCTGAATGAAGGTGGTTTGTCCAGGCAATATTGATAGAAATCCAGAGTGATATCTGATATCTTAGAACAAGAGCCTCACAGGTGATTTAGGGAACCGCCGACACATTGCCATGCAGGAGACCAGAGGGCGTGGCTCCTCTTTAGAAAGCTGTGAATAGCGAAGGAGCCTGGAATCAATCCTAGACTTGATATTTAGGCTCCGTTCATCCATGGTCCAGAGACCTCCCATTGCACGTTGCCCTGGCGTCCATTCCCAGTACAAAGTCCAGATATATTCCGTAGTTCGCCCTGATGTTCCACGCCTTCAATGTAGTTCAGGACGAATCATGTTTAAGGGAGATGATCGTATGGTCCGCAGCTGTTGTGGCTTCAGACACTGCACAGCATGATAATGCACGGCACCTGGAAAGATGGCCTGAATAGACTAGAAGGTCGATCATTTGAGCCAAGTCCCATAAGGTGACCTGCATCCTATGAAGCACAAGGCAGATATCCTTTTCGATCGATGCAGTTTTGGAGGGTGGAAGCTTTAGTACTGTCTGCAAAGAGTCCACCGTAAATTCCAGAAATTGAACAGAGATCCTGCAGCAGGAGAACTGCCAGGAACATATCTCTCTGGAGAAAAGTCAGAACTTGAGCCATCAGAAGGATATTGTCCTGATAGATTATGACCCTTTGAGCGCTCACAGACGCCATGACAGGTTTGGTGAAGCACCAGGGAGCAGAACTGAGGCAAAAGCAGACACGTGAATTGCCATAGCTAGTACTTCCATCGGATTTAGAGGAAACGCCTGTCACAATGAATCTCGATGGTCAGGTAAGCATCCTTTAATTTGAGAGTACTAATCGCCCTTGCAGAGTCTTGGTAGAGATGGACACTCTCAATCTTCAATGGGCAGTAAACATACGCCTGTGTTAAGGGCATGCAGGCTAATGACCAGTCTTAAAACAAACCCTTTGTCTTTTCTATTGCACCTTTCTGCCTGAAACAGTCCACTTTAGTGTACATCAATTCCAGTGCCTCTCTGTCCACCAGGTGTCGCTGCCAGAAAACTGATCCAGAATCCAGGGACCGCAAAATCCAGGGATCCTCAGTGAGTTTTGGATTATATGGGGAAAATAAATTAGACAACCTGCCAGTGCTATATGGGGGAAAGAGTAAACAACTCTTACCTGAGGTACCTGGCCTGGGATGAGTATGTTGCCCGTCCACGACAGTATCCACAGTAAAGTAGCTGGTATTGGTAGGGCGATGTGGAAAAGGTTACAGAAAAGCAGGGCCTGGTGCAGAAGGCGGCTGTTCTGGTTGTGGCACAGCTCTGCTGTTGACCAACTCAAGTGTAAAAGCAGTTCCTGGAATGAAAGACCTTCTTGAGGGAGAGTGGTTCAATTCCTTCATATATTTGTCTCCGAATAGTAGCCCTTTAGCATCCGAGCCCCAATTCCTTGGAAGCCAGGTCCAGCAACCTGACATTTAATGTCAAGTAGCCATTTTACAGCGTTCATTTAGCAAATAAGGATGAATTGACATTTTACATAGTGCCTATTGTGCCTCGAACCATGTGTTACAACACAAAACACAGTTGATGTAGGTGAAAGTGCACAATATGTAAATATGTTACCGCCTATTTCTAGATTTATTTATGTACAGCCAGAGGAGTGGGTCACCCTCAATAAAACGTGTAGTCAGGGCACACATGATCAAGGAAGGCAAGTTCAGCAAGGGCCAGAGTCCAACAAACAGCAGTGGCAGTCACCTAGAGTACAGACCCCACAAGAACCAAACAGAAAACCAAGTTGAAGCAGGGAATATCAAGACCAGCAGGTTGTCACAAGGACCAGTAGTTGCACAGACGCACCAGGAGGATCAAACATTGGTAGAGAGAAAGCAGTGGATCTTGCAACACAACCAGCAAGTACAGCTTATTCACGGAGAGTGGTGCACAAGGCTCTCAATGTGAGTACCGAAATATGGAATTTATTAAAAATTGATACTAGACATGTGCAAGAGTTTGTTAGGCACAAAAAAAAAAAAATCCTTTCAATTCACACCCGAACAAATCTAATCGTCCAGAAAATAAATTATCTCCAGCCTGCCTTTGTAGGCAGAGGCTGACTGCTGAGCTAGCCGGACATACAGTTGCAAGAAAAAGTATGTGAACCCTTTGGAATGATATGGATTTCTGCACAAATTGGTCATAAAATGTGATCTGATCATCATCTAAGTCACAATAGACACTGCTGTCCAAACAAAACATTGCTGCACGTTTACAGTTTGCACAAGAGCACCTGGATGTTCCACAGCAGTACTGGCAAAATATTCTGTGGACAGATGAAACCAAAGTTGAGTTGTTTGGAAGAAACACACAACACTATGTGTGGCGAAAAAAAAGGCACAGCACACTAACATCAAAACCTCATCCCAACTGTGAAGTATGGTGGTGGGGGCACCATGGTTTGGGGCTGCTTTGCTGTGTCAGGGCCTGGACGGATTGCTATCAGCGAAGGAAAAATGAATTCCCAAGTTTATCAAGACATTTTGCAGGAGAACTTAAGGCCATCTGTCTACCAGCTGAAGCTCAACAGAAGATAGGTGTTGCAACAGGACAATGACCCAAAGCATAGAAGTAAATCAACAATAGAATGGCTTAAACAGAAGAAAATACGCCTTCTGAAGTGGCCCAGTCAGAGTCCTGACCTTAACCCGATTGAGATGCTGTGGCATGACCTCAAGAAAGCGATTCACACCAGACGTCCCAAGAATATCGCTAAACTGAAACAGTTCTGTAAAGAGGAATGGTCAAGAATTACTCCTGACCGTTGTGCACGTCTGATCTGCAACTACAGGAAACATTTGGTTGAAGTTATTGCTGCCAAAGGAGGTTCAACCAATTATTAAATCCAAGGGTTCACATACTTTTTCCCACCTGCACTGTGAATGTTTACATGGTGTGTTCAATAAAAACATGGCAACATTTCATTCTGTGTGTTTTATTAGTTTAAGCAGACTGTGATTGTCTATTGTGACTTGGATGATCAGATCACATTTTATGACCAATTTGTGCAGAAATCCATATCATTCCAAAGAGTTCACATACTTTTTCTTGCAACTGTATCTTGGCTGAGCTCCGGAAATATCTTAGTGATTTATCCTGTGTTTACAGAAAAAATCGATGATACTCTACAAACAGATACGCTATATGCTCCTGTGGCTACAAATTTGCTGTAACGTTGCAAGCGGTCTATGTTTTAAAGATGGCACGAGATTGCAGCATACGGGCGACTGGTGAGGGGAGAGAGGGCCGCTCACCTCGCTTCCCGGTCGACTGTGTAGACAGCTCTGCCCAAAATGGGACAAACCTTTGCACGCTGCTCACTCGGAGAGCCCTTACTCATTTTCATAAGAAGCAGCCTGTTAGAGGGCCCCAAGGCCAAGTCCTAACCACTGTGTGAGACGGGCCTTGTGAGTCTGGTGCATTGGACTATATGACAGCCCGGGGCTGGTGTTGTACAGAAATGCAGGACGTGAGCCCTTATTTTTTTCGATGCAGCGCAATCTGTGTGACTAACATAGGCTGAATAATGTGATTACTTCTTGTGCATTTATTGCCCCAGTAACAGCATTTCTCTTTAAGTTAATTCACTTGACACCTCCTTCTGAGGTTAGCACTCTGTAGTATTGTTCCTAGTTATTTATTCTCGATTGGCAGCTACCTTATTAATGTATAGTTGCATGTGCTCATCCATCTTTTTATAATTGCGACCAGCGCCAAGTGGTACCTACTCTAGCTAATTATGTATGTTAGCATGTAATCAAACATTCACTATTAGTTATGCAAGGCTATCTAACTCCATAGCGGAGTCACCTTATTGAGCTACGGTCTAAAATACACACACACACACACACATACATACATACATACATATATATATATATACATATATATATATATATACACACACACACATACACATATACATACAGACATACATATACACACACAGATTATATTTAGCAACTGTTCCAGCTACTACTCAGACATGCCTAGCACAGCCTGATGTTTCCACTTGACAATTGCTAGACGAGTAAGCCTTGCTTGACTTCAGGTTTTTATTTTTAATATTTTTTTTTATGTATACCTTAAAAAAAAGAGCTAAAATGTCAAATTACAGTGTTTTGATATGTATTTTATTGATCTTGCTTCTGTGGTCAGGGCAAGGCAGAAAGTTTTGTTATATGAGCACAACACAAAGAATAATTTAAAAAAAAATTAGTTTAAAAAAAAGATTTTTGGGGGATTTGCATTATTCATAATAATAATAATAATAATAATAATAATAATAATATATATATATATATATATAAAAAAATTTTTGCGAGGAAACATCTAATTTATACCAACGAAGTAACAATATAATTGTACCTTTATACAAAACGATCTTGCAGCACCACAACTCCATTTAAATAAAATTTAAGGACGGTAAACATTTCATTTAGAAGAACTAAAAACAGAGGACATGGTATCATTTTTAAAATCCACTTTATTTTTCTTGTTTCATACAGGATTTAAGGCATCTGCACAAGACACACAATTCTTGCAGAGGTTATAAAATCTTTCCTTTTTTTTTTATAATTATCTTCTTGTTTGTACATGTTGGTCAGGTACCTTTTTACTTGTGTTTTGTCACTTTGTTCCCTAAAACTGTGTAGGCGTTTGAGATATGACAGTTAAACCAGTGTTAAATCAATTAAATATTTACATAGCACAACACATTAAGCTTGAAACACTCACAGAAGGGGCAGGGAGGTGGGGAGGGGATAAAACCACATCAAAAATAGGACGAACACCACCAGTATTATGTTCGGAAACAGCTATTTACAGGTCCCCTAATATGAAATGATAATTTATTTTGTAATGAATTGTAAACTGGCCCCTGATCGGGGCAGGCAGAGGCTGTGTAAAGGGAATTTTAACCTCTTCAGAGCTGGAGCAGCCAGGAATGCGTAATTTCCCTCTTCAGCACAAAAGAAGTTAAAGCATCATGTTTGGAAGCACATTGGTATGCTACCCTGAATCATGTGCCATTTACATAATCCATCCAGATGGTTTCAGGTCCTAGATTAGCAAGTCTGGCCAAATTAACATAAAAATAAAAAATAAAATTTAATAATGCAACTGGCCATGTATTGGCTGCTTGCTCTATTACTCAAATAGGACTCTGAATGTCACTCGACCAAGGAACTTGTCTCTGTCATCCTCATTCCTAAGGTTAGGGGATCCATGAATCTTGCACTCAAATGCTATTGGTTCTGTGCTGTTTAGGTTTCTTGGTATGATCTTCACTGCAACTAAAGGCTGGACATAATTCACCTGTAGTAAGGAAAAAAAAATATATATAGAGATTATAAATACACACACACACACACACACAGGTTACAGGTGTGATGTATTAAAAAAGCAGGCATACTGCATTTTTACAAACCCACTTTTTTTCTTGGAATATAAATATATTGGAATAGAATGTGTTATATACATAAAGAGGTAAATGGTTTCTCTGCAAATAAATTCATAAATTCCTGGCAACAAGGCAACTTTAGAAGTTGCCAACTTTAAAAACCTTAAAAGGTCATGCTACACATTGATCACACAATATCTCACTGAGCACAGAAAAGGGCAGATGCTTCTCGTGTGTGAATAGTATATGCAAAGGGAACACTACAGGTTGAGATATATTTGTCATTTGCATTCACCGATGCTCAAATTGAAGACAATGGGAAGCCAGGGTTAGCGGAGAGATTGCAGCCAGTGCTACACTCTACGGAATGTTTTAAAATTTTAATTATTAGAACAAGTGGAGATTAAAGCACAGAGGACATAAAAAGGACTTTCCTGGCACATAATGAAAGGGAATGTATCTCAAAGGTCATCTTGGAGGGGCTAAAGTCACAAGAACTACAAATACTGCCTCCACCATAATGGATTGACCTTACCATCCGTAAACATAAAAAACAAAAAACAAAAAAAAAAAACACACAAGCCTGGAAACAACTACATGTTTATCCCACCCTCCCTAAGTTTTAAAGTAGCTCTATAAACCACAGTCCCCCCATTGAGTATAACATAAGGATAACATCTTTATAAAAATAATCTTTCTGAAATACACACTTTAACAGTGTTGAAATTTCACTGAAATTCTAATGCAGTTAAAAAAAAACATACTAAGTTGACTTGGTATATTTTCTACAATTGACAAAAGATGGCAAAACAGATGTCAAGTTCTGTCATTTCCCCCAGCAACATATATAGAAAAAAAACAAAAAAACAAACACAGACCTTGGTGTTGTACACGGCTATGTTCTCCTGGCAGATGAAGTGTCATGATTTAAAGAGAATCATCAACACTATGGTGGCAGCTGCAAAGGACAGGTTCAGGCAAGTAAAAACTAAGCTTCCCCCAGAACAGCGCAGCCAGACCACCAGGGGAGCAATCACCGTTAGGGCCTTTGCAAAATTTGCAAAGACCCCAAATGGTGACAGAATGTAAAAACGTTTTTACATTTCTCTTTATCATAATATATTACCTCAATACAGTCTTGTGTTTGTGGCTTTAACACTCTAAACTAGGCATAGGCGTGCGCAGCCAGGGTGGTGTGTGTGTGTGTGTGAAGGTGCTGTTAAATGTTAATATAGGTTAATGGAGGAGACAACTGTCCAATAATAACCACAAAACCAAATCAAACCTGTATTAATAGAAAATATTTCATGCCCAACTTGTGTTATAGATGGAACTTCTAAAACACTTTTTGCATAGAGCAAAAACAACTAAAATAAAATCAGGTGACACGCTGCATCAGAAATTCAAAGTTCAGGAAAGCAAGCAGGCCAAGAAGCAAAGGGGATTCAACTTGCCTACATCATAAGTGTAAATTAATGCTCTTTGCCTATAGGAGGATAACAAGTTAAAAACAACTAAATGTGTACAAGTATTCCCATTATGTGAGGAGGTGGGCCATTACTTCCACTCCACTTTGTATACATTAGATATGTCGATTATTATTTTACACCATATTTGAAGGTGGATTTATTCCCATTTATTAATTCAGCATTGATTTAAAAAAAACAAAAAAAAACACTTTGTTGATCCTCCAATTACACTACTACTATCTTGCAGTATATTCTTTCCACTGCTATAAACCATTTTGAATGGTAGCAATTTGAGAATACAATCCTATACTTTGTATTTGCTACACAGCAGTCAGCCCAGAGAAAAGGGGTAACTAAAATTGATTTAGCAGAACTTGCTAGTGGAGAGTAAAGGGACTCCCAATGCATCTAGACCACTGGATCTTAGTGATGTGGTCTAGATGACAAGTTCCTGTAGTGAAGACATTGTCGTATATGGACCAGAAGCATGATTGCTTGCACAGAAATTGCAGAAAGCGATCCTGCGGCCTAGCCAGGCTAGTTCTGTGGACCGGAAAGGAAGGGGGAGGGGGAGGGGGGGGAGGGAAAGGGAAGGACATTTAATCTTATGGTTTTATTATTAATTTTGAGCTACAGGAGGATACGCCTAAAATTTGCCAAGACCAATGCAGTTTCTCACAGACAGTTTTTTGGCTTTAAATCAGCAGTTTTATCATCACTTGATAACTTTTGCTCACTAAATCCAAAAGACTACAGAACTAAAGCCAATATGTTATCTACTGGAGTGGAAGCGGGAATAATTTTGCAAGAATTAGAATGGTAATAAAAGACTAAAATAAATGTGAATTACCTTTAAGCACGGATGTGTGGTGCTTGGTAAATTATTAAATGGGGTCCTGGCGAGGCTGTAAAAAGTGGAAATGGTTACAAATCTCCAAACACTGGTAAAGTGTGAGAGGGGATACTTGTTAAAAGGAATGTTGTGGTAATGATGCTTTGAGTATTCCTTTAACCCCTTAAAGTCCAAACTTCTGGAATAAAAGGGAATCATGACATGTCACACATGTCATGTGTCCTTAAGGGGTTAAACAATGATTTATTTATTTTTTTTTAATGTGCTCGCTCAATGCCAAGAGTTTCCGGCGGTTAGAGGAATTACTGGCATCTGGTGGACCCCAGGGTAAAAAGTCAAACTTCCCAAACTGGTTGACTTATTAATGGGGGAAAGCAAGGGCATCATGGCCCCATAATCGCTACAGTGTGTTGCAGTGGTTATGGTGCATGGAGTGTTCCTTTACTTAAAAAGGAATAGGTCAGACAAAAATAAAGTAAATTATTTTGAATTTAACACCCATGTTTGTAACCATGTTGTCCATCACCTTCTGCTTACCAATCAAAAGAAAGCAGAAAGAGAATCAGTAGGCACCTATGATAGACTGAGGACAAGTAGATGTAAGGAAACCGAATAACAGGGTCCAGAGCCTGGAGCATCTACTTCTGAATACACAACTTTTAGTTGAACAGTGCACCAGCAAAATACATTGTCACACATTGAGAGTTAGGTTTTATCCATAAACTTACATGAGTTTTCTTTCCATAATAAGGATAATACATCAAGTCTATCTTCCCGTTCTCTGGATAATATTGCATTTCCACATCATCCCTCTGCAGATATAATAGTTTAAAATTAATTAAATGAATGAGAGGTTATCCCATATACTGCAAACATTTTGAAAGGTTTATTACACAACACCAAGAAGGCACTTACAAAGTCACAAAAGTAAACAGCCAGTGAATCAGTGAGCTAGTATGAATGTAAAAGATACAAACTAATACAAACTAACATACTTAACTACTACAGCTTGCTGTAATGGTTATGAATGCCCCGGAGCTCTCCCTTAATTGACTATTGAACAATTTAAGAACATATTAATATAAAGCAGAACTTTTCCCAGCTCAGCTACAGGCTCTTCATGAGTTAGCCATGCACTATTAGGATTAGCTCAGGAGAGCTAACCAGAGTTCTTTCTCAGCAACTTCAGTCTCCCCTGCATTAGTAGTTGAGCAAAGCAGAAGAGCACTGTGGACTCCAGGTAAGAAGTAAAACCATTCAAAAACAGTTTGTCTACTTACATGGATGGGGGCTCCACTAACACAATAACCACCACAGCTCACTGTATTAGTTATGGTCCTATAGTGTTCCTTTAAGTCTGTCTGTCGCTATACATAATTCTTGACAAAGGTGGGCTGTGGATTTGTTAAACACACATGTAAGTTTAGCTCAAATATAGAGTGCATTCCACATACAATGAATGAAACTGATCATGTTAAAACAGTTCTCCAGCTATAGGTTTCTAAAGGCAAAGAGGAGGGCAGAATGGAAGAACAAGAAAGTGATGTGACTTGTATATAATGAGAATGACCTGTCTGCATGTGAGTGAGTTATATGCATGTACATTTTCACTGTTCATTTCTTTGACAGGAAAGATGCTACATTAGAGATGTCTTGCAGAACCCGAAATCCATAAGCTTGGGACAAAACACTGAAATAATTTAGCTTTATGGTAAGGCAGTTAAGGGTAATTTACAGTCCCAAAAATGCAGTCCCCACCCCACCAGGACAATAGGTTTCCTTCTATCATACTTCCAAAACATCAGTATGCCTGCAGACATTTTCCGCAATCTCATCCAATCAAATGGTTCTAATAGAAATATTGGTGGACGAGACATGCATGTGCAGCGCTCATCCAATCAAATGATATTAGCAACATTTCACTGCAGGACAGTGTTTGACTCTAGTGGCTGCCACAAATCAGGCGCTAGGGGTGTTTTTAACTCTTCAGTGTAAACTTTGCGGTTTCTAGAAAACCACAATGTTTTACATTGAAGGGGAACAATGACAGGGCCACTACACCCAGACTGCTTCATTAAGATGAAGTGATCTCAGTGACTATAGTGGTCCTTTAAAACTGATGTTTTTTTTATGTACATACTTTAGATCGTACAATAAATGCATATAGAATTGCAACAATCATTTTAGGGAAATTAAAATTTCAAACCTGCTATCACTATTGTTAGATTAAATCAATTTAAAGGGACACCCTAGTCACCTTAACAACTTTAGCTTAATGAAGCAGTTTTGGTGTATAGAACATGCCCCTGCAGCCTCACTGCTCAATCCTCTGCCATTTAGGAGTTAAATCCCTTTGTTTATGAACCCTAGTCACACCTCCCTGCATGTGACTTGCACAGCCTTCCATAAAACACTTCCTGTAAAGAAAGTTCTGTTTAAGATTTTCTTATCCCCTGCTATGTTAATAGCATTCTATACCCTGCAAGAGCCTCCTGTATGTGATTAAAGTTCAATTTAGAGATTGAGATACAATTATTTAAGGTAAATTACATCTGTTTGAAAGTGAAACCAGTTTTTTTTCCATGCAGGCTCTGTCAATCATAGCCAGGGGAGGTGTGGCTAGGGCTGCATAAACATAAACAAAGTGATTTAACTCCTAAATGGCAGTGAACTGAGCAGTGAAATTGCAGGGGAATGATCTATACACTAAAACTGCTTTATATAGCTAAAGTAATTCAGGTGACTATAGTGTTCCTTTAACCCGTCAAAGGCTAGAATATCACAGATCTCTGTGATTAACAATTATACCATTTAGCCATAATGATAAAAATTCCCTCACCTTAGAAGTGCAATTTATCTTTGGATTTCCTTGCGGTAGTAATCCAATAATCTAAAATAAGGAAAGAAAAAAAAAATTAAAAAACAAAAACAAAACAAAACTCATACATGAACAGTAAAGGTTCTCGAGTCTAGGGCTAGCTTACAGGAAGGGTTTGGAAATAGGCAATGGAATCACATCTGTTTACATTAATGACATTACCATTTTCACATGTTTCACAAGCCATTACTTGAGTAAAATAAAGAATGAAAAATAATTCCGCATGGAGATTCAATATTAAATAATGAACTTTTAGGGTCGAGGGTTGATAAAAGCCAAATCAATTAAAGAAACACTTTGTGCACTATAAACACTTTTCCAATTAAAGTGGGAACTCTGATGATATGAAGCGGAGTCCTTTAGGTGCCAGTTCAGCCTCCTCTCTGTGTTCAGCACATGCAATTGCTGAGGCAGCATATACTGGCCGAGAGTGTGAACTGACTTGATTCAATCTTTGCTGAGCAGCTCCAGAGAGAAAGCCAAACCGGTAACTGTACATGAGGTGCCAGTGGACCAAAGTCAATATAACAATTTCATTGGCATGAAGTGGTTATGATACTCAGAGTAACTGAGCCTCTTCCAGTAGTATCACTGTTGGACAGCTGTGAGCTCAACCCCCCCCCCCCCACATCCATATACATAGTATTAACATTTCCAGCCCTGTCGTGCGAAAGCTTTTAATTTGACAGACGTAAGGCTTTTAACAAAATTACTTCAATGTTGGTGTTGGGACCTAAACAATCTGAAAAAGTTTACAGGTTAAACATAAAGCCATAAAACATAGTAAAAATGATAGGTGGTGCAGTGTAAACCTACTCTGTTCATTTTGACGATCACACAGGGGTTCCCTGTGCTATACCCAAAGGTGGGGTCTTCAATCCCAGAGCAAGGTCCCAGAAAGGTCCTGTTAAACTGACATGACTTCTTCTCACCGGGTTCATCTTGTTTGAAATATAGACCTGTCTTACAAGGCTCATTCTTGACTTGGTTGGAATCATTGTATGCTGGTGAAAGAAGAACAGCAACATTTGACAACTATCTCCCAAATTCAACAAACATGAATAACAACATGCTAAACAGAAGAGGTCTGAAGATAAACCCAACATGTAATCACACTATTATAGTGTAACTTTTAAATGAAGGATCCCAAGTAAACAAATATCAAACTGAGTAATTTGTGTTCTAGACCCATTTACATAATTAGTTAATTTAGGCACAATGAGAGTTAGCAATACTCAAATATTTTCCATCTCTCTGGGAGTGTAACAGGTCAAGCTGAACCCTGCTGAGAACTGAACAATTGACCTTCTGATCATAGCAAGAATTTAAAAGGAACGTTAATTCTTCACCACCTGCTTCCATGTTATATCACATTGGCTTATTCTAGCCTTTAATGGTAAATTTTGTACTTGTAAAAGGTGTGTAGGGAAGTGTGCTTGCGTTATATAATTTAAGAATATGGCATTTTAGTAATAGTGTGTGTGTAAATGCATAACAAAGAAAGCTGTAAGAATGTAATCTGCTCTCAAATTGTATTTGTTATCTGAACTAGCACCCTACCAGCTTGTTACCTCTGCATATTTTTTCATCTTTTTGTTTTGTCCCCGAGGAAACTGCTGTATTACAAAGTTGCACATGCTGAAAAAAAGACTTGCGCCCATGAAGTACAGCCTCTCTGATATCTGCTATATTACGCACACGAATTCTATTAAAGGCAGTAATGCTTAAAATTATCCCTGGGGGAAAAGGATCTTTATAACTAGGGACACTAAAACATTTATTATCTTGTTTTCCCTGTGCTGAATCTCCATACCTGGGCACAGTTATTTTGTTCTCCTCTGCCCAAAAAGTCTGCCATTTGCCTTCATTGTGATGGATTCTACTGAAGATTGTGGGTAAATTTAATTGGTAACTGAAACATTAACTTTGCAATGCCCACTGTTAAGTTTGGTCAACTTGACAGCTATATATAAGGAGAAGTAGTCACCATGCTTTTTCTGAGGAGGGGAATTCAGATATTTTATTTTTGGTGAAAGTCACTTTAGCAATTAACATGAATCCAGTTCAGTCCTGGCATGTACAGCTTTAGGGGGTGTTAAAAAAAAACAAAAAAAAAACAGAAACCTTTGACCTGCACATAAAATGCTCAATAAAAGAATGAGGCACATCTTATGGCAATCATTGACAGAAAGATAAATTTGGCCAGGTACTTCTGGATACAGCTAAATACAGGGGGGGGGGGGGTAAAATTTCTTCACTTAATTTTATACCTCAGGCCTCAAACACACAATTGCGATATATATAGGAGATAAGCAGACAGTTTCTTGGCATGTCCATTTAGTATGCTGAAGCATTTTGACCTTTGAGTTTGTCTTGGTATAAGAGACTCTTTAGGTGTACTTACGTGCTAGAAATGTGTGAAGAGCTTTCACATATGCATCATATGACTGAGGTTGCAACATAATATCCAGACCAGCTGATTTAGGAGAAATCATAAGACCTGAAAAGAGCGGTAACAGGTAAATATGACAACCATTTATGTGGTGCAAACTAAATATGATTTTATAAACAGAAAGCCGTGTACAACACACAACACACATTGAACACACCAATTGAGAGCAATGAGCAATTTTCAAATCTGATTAGATCTTTTAAAAATTATCAATTTGAAATCCAACCTAATCCAAATCACTGCTTAACCCTGACAGAAGGCACAGCCATAGATTTTTGACCAACATCTGTGTAAAAGGTTAAACTTAAATGTAAAGGTTAAATTTGAAGTGTGAATAACATATGTGAATTCTCAGTGGGACCAAACAGAGCTCCACAACATCTGACATGAATACCATACTCTTATTTACAGATCAGAGAGAAAAAAAAATGCATTTATAAATGGGATGTTGTTGCAGTTCCCAGAAAAGGAGGGAGACAAGGCTTACAAAGTAGTGTCAGAGGGCTGACAGTGTAGTGTGGCATTTAGTGTAGCCCAAGTGTGGGAAGCTTTTGTGCCGGTGACTGGGGGAAGGTGCTATGATATGGCCACTGACGTACTGCTTACAGTGAGCTTGTTGTGATGGATTTTAAAGCGAACCCATTAGAGCATGAGTGACAAAGTTAGCAAGAGTGACAAAGTTAGCAAGAGTAAGCCAGGTTTGTTTATATGACAAGTACTGAATGCAAACTGCCAAAAGGTTCCAGTTAACTTGTCAGCACAACGGAGTAAAAAAATTAAACCGACTTAAAAAAAAACAAAAAAAAAAAACACACAAACACTGACAGAATTATGGTTGCTGTCTAACAACTAGAGTATAAAACTAATGCAGGCCATCCATCTAGGCCACAAGTAGCCAACAGATAGCTATTGTGTTATTGCAACTAAAAGTACACTGACACCTTAGCAAGTAGGTTTACAATATCCTAAAAAGAATGGATTAGAACCCAAGTTTATAGACAAATACGGATTTGGATTAGGTTTAAGAACATGCAAATCAATTATGCAAAATCAAATATCCCTTTCAAATTTGTGATACGGACGGCATAAACAGACGCTAACATACTAAGACGTGTATATGTCCACTGTAAGAAAATTTAATGAATTATTCGGACACAAATCCATGGACTCTGAAAACAAGAGAATAGTACAGTGATCACAAATATGTCATATTAGCTTCATACTCGACAGGACGGTATAGAAATCACACTGCATAACAAACATGAATCAAAGTCATCATAGTTCTGTTACAGCCGCTAAAAGACACCAGCAAGCACACCTATTTTACTGAGTAACGTGTTTCGAACAATTTTGTCTTGGCAGATTTACCTTTAGGGAAGGGTCTAGTTTCTGATGATTTACAAAAAGGAAACAAATAATGAGGATGAAATTGCTGACAAGTACGAGGAAATACATGCCATACAACACTTTTATTTTATCTCTCTTCACATCCTAGCAGACAACTTTCATCAGGATTTAATTATTTGAAGTGATAAAACTTTAAAGACCAATAAAAGCAAAAGTTATTCATAAAAGACACCAGACTAGGCAGAACATGTACTTTGTAAGTTCATGCCATAAGAAACCGACAGTATGTGGTGTTTACGGAAAATGACAGTCTTCTCTACTTCATTCAAAAACTAAGGTTGTGTACTAAATCAGTGGTTTTCAAGAAGTGTGCTGTAACCTTCATAAGCTACAGGTGAAGGTAAAGAAAACAGTAGGTGAAAATTCGCAGTGCATAATAAATTCCAATCCACATTTTCATATTCTAGGCCTGATTACCAAATTGATATATTCATATAAAGAGTGTATACATACACTTTTACACAGACGACTAATAGAGGCACACTCACCCCCCGCCACCCCCTGTGCAGTCCAAGTATTCTGGGACTTCTCTCCTCCTCCACTCTAGTCACTGAAGAAGGAGCAGGTTATAGAGAGAACTTGGCCATGGTGAAGAATGGCAGTTAAGCGTTTTTTTTAGTTTGTATAAAAAATAAAAACCACACGTTTTTGATGGCGTAATCCTTTAAGAATAAGCACCCAATGAAGAACTTTCCTGCTGAAAGGTCAAGGTGACACACATTAAGAAAGGAATATGCTAGGCACTCATTTCACTCAGTCTACACATTCTATGTTCCACAGAGTTTAATTTACTATAAGTATATAGGAAAAAGAGGGCCTTAGTACTGTGGTTAGAGTAGGCAAAAGCTAAACATGTTGACATCAGATGGATAGATAAGGTGATTAGGATAAGAATATTTTACCTGGTGAAGACACTCTATCCCGATACTTGGGAACCGTATCATCCAGTGTTTGGAGCATGACCCACATGGTAAGTGTGAAGAGCCCAGCCAGAAAGCCATAGAACACCAAGTAAAACAGCAGGATAAGAGCTGTTGGGAGAGAAGAATCATACATGGTTAAAGTCATATATATATCTAGCATACAATATGCAGACCTTAAAGTCAGAGGACATCCAATCTCAGCTACTTCAGTAGTTCTTCCTCACCTATATATTTAGGAATCTATACATATAGGTCATAGGTAATCATGTGCGGAGTTACCACAATGTCAGAGGTCTAAAACTACTGCCAACCACTGGCAGTTTACACTTTGTTTTACAGAATTTAACAGCTTGAGTTAGGTTTTTCTTTTCTTCAAATCCCAGCCTAATTAGGCTTTTAGCAATTTTTAAACAAACTGAGAGCTCCATAAAATTGTAGCACCTGTTACCATTCACACTGCTCACCATCTTTTCTGATATGTCAGTATTGGGCATGCGGTTCTACATAAAAATAGTTAAAACCAGTGTTAAGAAGTGCATTACCATTACTAAGCTATGTAGCCCTACATTTCCAGGATCTCTTGGTGCTGTTCGAGTTCCTGTCATCTCTGCAACGCTCTCTTGGCCAAACAGGCTCTTACAGCATATCAATCACTTGTTCTCTAAAGAGGCTTGCAGGGTATTGTGAAGTGGTTCCTGTCTTACCCTCTATACCGATTAAAAAATACCATATTAGGAAACGCTATCATGAACAGGACTGTGTTAACAGCCGCCAAAGGGTTACGATCAAACAGTAAAAACACACACACACACACGTCAGGGAAAACAGTCACTGGTGCATACTTCTAATGCAGAACACACATTGCCACGGATAACTGCAAAGAGCATAGGAGCACAATATTTTATAACAATTTAGTACAGAGATAAAGTTTATACATGCCTATAATAAGTAAACATGTAGAAAACTAAAGTGCCATTACTTTTATGGTACTTTTGCTATGCATTTGTTCCATTGTAGTTTAACGTTTTCTCTTTAAGTGTACTCCTACACCTTTTAATTTTTTTAAAGACAGATTTATGAAGTTCTAGAGAGTCAGGATACAAGCATGAAAATTTCCCAATTCTCACAGATTATTGAACTAGGCCCATGTCACTTATTGGACAAAATAGAAGTCCTCAGCTTGCATACCACATGTAAAGAAAACATCTTGGCCACTGAAGACTCAATGTTCCATAATAATCCATGTCATTACCAATTTCTGACAAACCTAGCAATAAATATTTTCATAGTTACTGAACAAAGAAATTCACAGATCTTGTGTGTCCTACAACTTCAACACACCTAGATTTGATTTCTGTTGCATCTCCAGAGCACAATACCCCACAACTAAACCTTATCCAAGATTAGTGTAATTTTTACAATCAAATTAGAGATGACATGCCTCTCCATTGCTTTTCAAACTCTGTTTGATAGAGTGACACCATACTACATTGCACCAAATCGAGGGGATATCTGACCCTATATAAAACACTACCTCTACTAATCAACATGATCAGCAGCCATTGAGCTACTGCTGGCATGCACTGATGCTGCTAGGACCACTGTGATTGGCTGTCACAAAAGAGGCTATCCAATAACAGCAAGTACATGTAACAATTGCAGTATGTACCATTTTTAATGGAGGTTTGCATAGCTAGTCAGGCATCAAGAAATAGCTTTGTCTCAATCTCAAAAAAATACAGTAAGTTAAATAAAAAAAATTTGATCTGAATGCACTTTGTGTGCGTTTTTTTTTTTTTAAACCCCTCTCCTGACTACACTACATCTAATTGCCCCCCCATCCTCCTAGTCACCCCCAAATGCCCCTAAAACCCTCATATTACCCATTTTTAAATCTTTATTTTGTGCCTGGATCTAGGTCCTGGGCGCCGCCATCTTTGTGTGGGCAGGTGAAGGCCCGGTGGCATACGCTGTAAAATTACTGTGCATGCCCAGTTAAACATGGAGGCATTCGCCATTGTCCAAAATTCGGACTGGAATTTCGTCTATTCATTCATCCATCCGTCAGAAAGACGAACGAGCAAATAGAAATTTCAGACGAACAAACACCAAAAATCGGTGTTCGCTTGTTCAGTTTATTACAAGGAGAGCGCTACCGGCTCACAGATCCCTCCTTGTAATATGTAAAAATAGAGGCAACAGGGAGCAGTGCTCCCCGCCACTTCCAAACTCTGACCCCCATATTAGCATAAGGAAGACTGAAATCTCCCGAATGCCCCTACACGCCATGCTGTGATTTGGGGCATGTCTACTAAACAGTGAGCCCCCTCTAAAACAGCCTGCATGGTGTGGCAGCTATTAACTAGTGGGGGGATGGACAGCAGGTTGGGGCCCTAAATGACAATAGGGGTGCCTTATTGTCATTTAGGGCCCGGGGGGGAGGGGAGAATAATGGGAGAGGGGGTGGAGAATACCTATTGTCCCCGTCCCACCCATGAGCAGGGCGGGAGGCCTAAAAGACAATGCAAAAAAATAAAAATAAAAACCATGTTTTTTTAAAATGCAAGACATTTGTTTGTGAAGTGATTTCACCCATCTGATTTGAGGTTTACACCTACTGGGTAGCATTAGACAGCAGGTATAGAAACTTCCAATAATGTCAAAAGGATAACATTGTTTATTTTTGCATAGTTTTAAAGCAAAAACTATATAATGGACTGAAAAAAAAAAAAAAAAAAAAAATCATAAAAAGGATACATCAGAATGCTTTTAAGAACTAACCTGAACAAAGTTTCAAAATGTGGTAACGAGGCATTTATTGTACAGCAGTTGATTCTACAGTTTACAATTAAACTAAATATTCTGAGAACTAAGCTATGGTAACCTGAAAACAGGATAGCAGAATAAAAGAGAAAAAAATTATATATTCTCCATTCACTCTTTAGTAAATAAACCTAAGCTTTATTTCCTGAAGGAAAAAAAATTAGACAATATACTTGAAACAAGAATCCCCACAGACTACCCTTGGTTTAATAAAACATGCTAATTGCTATAAACCCAACTGTGCAGTGTAAGGGGGTTTGTAGCAAAGCAGTCACAGCAGATGCCAGGGTAGAGAGTGTTCACATAACCGCAAAAGCAACATTACTTATTTTAACTACATTACTGCCTGACCAGCCCCATAACCCAAAGACAGAGGGGAGGGGACCACAAAATGTATAGGTGTTGTAAGTAACGATAATTTCATCCACATAAAGCATGATGCTTAAGAGCCAGCACCCGACATGTTCAGGACTTCAGTAATGACGTAAAACACTACAGACATAGACAAATTGAAGAAGCCATCTACCTTTGTTTATAGGGACACTCCAGGCACCCAGACCACTTCTGCCCATTGGTGTGGTCTGGGTGCAAACTCACCACCCTTTTTATAAACTGCAATAATTACCTTGCAGGGTTAAATCCTCCTCTAGTGGCGGTCTATCAGACAGCCACGAGAGGGACTTCCGGGTTCTTAAACCCCCCCCCTCCCAAAAAAAATGTGTTTTAAACGATGCTGGACGTCCTCACGCTAAACATGAGGACCTCCAGTGTCGCTGGAATCCCGATAGGAAAGTCTAATGCCCGTGCTGCCTTTGCCGCGCATTAGGTCTCCTCCGCCGGCAGACGCTGGGGGCGGAACCTGACCTAGTGCCAAGGTCAGTCACGGTTTTAACCCCTTCAGCAACATGGGATGGGGGTTGGGAAGGAGAGGGGCACTGCAGGAGTCCCTTTAATTTGCAAGCTAAACTTATTGTTTTGCAGATAAAATTTTTGCCAATGTATTTACATCCTTTAGACTGCGAGGTTGTTTGAGCAGGGCCATCACTGTATCAAGTTTATGTAATAAACTTGTGTGAACATACCTGTACGTCTCTGCTATCTATTGCAGAAGAAAATGGTGGAAGATGGAGAAAACGGAGAGAGAGTGTAAAGAGATTATATGAGAACATTTATATTCATCATAAACTATTTAGATTTAACCAAATAAATCTCAATCCGTATCTACAGCCAAAATGGCAATACAAATTTCACCACGCAACGCAAGTATTTACGTCTACTGTGGTTGTTTAGAAGTGCTTTTTTATCCTAGATGGTAGTGGGTAAAAACCTGCTATTCACAACACACAATGCTGTTGCAGTGACCTAAAATAAAGCACCTTGCAAAGTTTAAATTTAACCTTCCTTGGTAGCAGAGTGGTATGGAATGCAAACAAGAATCTCTCTATCAACCCAAAGGTTAAAAGGAGTAATATGAGGTTAAGAAGACCAGCCGCTTCAGTTTTAATTAGGTATACATTCTGATAAATTTGCAGGACTGAAGAAACAAAAGGGTTAAAAAAGGCTAACCTCATAGACCTTGCAGGATTAAGTGTCAGTGACCAAGAAGCTGCATTCAAACAAACAATGACTCCCTTCATAGGAAGAAACTGTACTGCCTACTTTTTTACTACCAAAAGGAAAAGGGATCAACCATGACTGATGACAGGAGCAGGGCATGGCTCTTTCACAGCTCCCAGTCCAACTTTCTGCCACTGAGAGGAAGAATGCCACCTACAAATCAACCAATTAATACAGGAGGACAAAGTGGGGAAACATAAGTACTGTTAGATAGCAAGTAACTTGAAGTATGATTATATAAAATTAATCATATGTATATCACACACACACACAAAATGGTGGCTACTTCGAATCTTGTAGATTAACAAAATTCCTAGAGACTAGAAGACAAGAATTCCTCTCCTGGCTGAGTACAGAGTGCTTGAATATTACACCATTCTTTTGATCTATACAAGGTAATACACTAGATCAGTGAGACACAAACACAAATTCACACCAAAATGTTACTATTCTTTACTGTTTTAAGAAATTTAAAAAGGAACAACAAAGTTGCTCTCCTCAAAGAGTAAGAACCAATATCAATTAGTTGCAGCCACCAATCATTTCATTGGGAAGCACCATAGAGGGGAGGAAGCATACACCAGGAGATTAAAAACAATGCCACCTATTTGCAAGAAGTACAAACAGTCCCAACACAGCTGGATCTCAAGTCACAACTAACTTGAAGCCCCACTCTATGGCAAGTCAGAATTCATTGTAACATTGTGACTACTATAAATAAAATTGAGACTGGATGACAAATACATGTAATAAATTTCCTGACAGTTCTGTTCCCTGGCGGTACGTGACAAAGCAACATCCACATGAATGCCAAGATACAAGATTCCACAGAGCAGATTACTATCTCCACCAGCCTGCCTTTTCCCAATAGTGCATCCTGCTGTCATTTCTTCCACAGGTAAAATGATGCACAACTGATTGAAAAGAAAATGTGATCAATTCATACAAACTTCTTCCTTTGCTATATGGTCCAGTTCTGACACGCACGTCCCCATTGAAGGCACTTTGGTGGTGGACAGGGGGTCATCATGGGCATTGACTGGTCTGTGGCTACGCAGCCCAATATGTAGCAAACTGCAATGCATGGTGTGTTCTGACATTTTTTTCAGCAATTTGAGATACAGTAGCTCTTCTGTGTGCATCAATGAGCCTTGGGATTCCCATTGCCCTGCCGTTCAACAGTTGTCCTTCCTTGCACTACTTTTGGTAAGTACTAACTACTGTATATAGGGAACAGCCCACAAAACTTGCAGTTTTGGAAATGCTCTGACCCAGCTGTCTAGCAATCACTATCTGGCCCTTGTCAAAGTCACTCAGAATTTTTCACTTACCTATTTTGAATGGCTTTCGACACATTCAATTAATGAACTGAAAAAAAAAAAAAAAAAAACCCACACACACACCACTTACTGCCTAATAAATCCCACACCTTGACAAAGGCCATTGTAACAATTTAAATCAATGGTATTCACTTCACGAGTCACTGTTTTTAATGTTGTGGCTGTTCAGTTTATTACCACTTGGACAGACATTACCAGTCCAGTGTTGCATACGGTTCTTTTTGTCTGCAAGTGCCACGTTCATTTATTTGTAACATTTGTTATTAAATTGCTACAATATATATTTCAATATTGTATACATCAGCAGTTCCCAAACTGTGTGCCAGGCAGGGGTGCCGCGGAATGTTCCCCGGTGCCAGGATTATAGCACCGCGAAACATAACTGCGTGACCGGGGCCCTGTAAGGTCAGCCGGCTGGCAGGAAATGACAGCGTCCCTTCCTCCCAGTGTCATGCAGAGAGAAAGCGCGGGAAGGAGAGGAGGCAGCCGCAGCAGTCCACAGCTGCTCCAGACCCCTCACACACAGCAGGACTCAAAGCCACCATCCTGCACATACAAAGTAAGCCAACAGGAGGGTGCATGGAGATAAAAAAAAAAAAAAAAGTCTTGTGTGTGCGCGTGCACGTATGAGTGTGTGCGCGTACATCTATGTATCTGTGTGTCAATGTGCACGTATATCTGTGAAAGTATGTATGTAGTAGTGTGTGTGCATACATCCAAGCAGTCAAACACCAGCACAAAATAAACACTCTTGCATTAAAAAAAAATAAAAAATAAAAATTACACACTTCACACAAATGTACATCCGCATTAAAAAGTGAACATTACATTCAGACACTCCTGCATTAAAACACAAACTATACATAAGCACCAATGCTGTACTTTACACTATAGTGCCAGCAAATTCCACAGCACTGTACAATGGGTACAGAGATTGAACATTGGTAACTCCACCTTCTGTGGAGTGCATCATGAGTTGCAAAAGCATATTAATATGATACACAAAATTTTACTTGTACCTTAAAGCAGGAGTGTTCAACCCGTGTGCCGCATGACACCCGGTAAGGCTAGTACAGTTGCAGTCCGCAGGGAACCCTTTACATACTGTGCTCTTACAACACAGCTCCCTCGTGCGCCCTGCAGTGAGCCGGAAGCCAGGATAGGACATCATCTGGCATCATTAACAATTACGGGACACACAAGGGACCTGTGGAGGAAGTCTACCAATGAGATAGTATTGGAATGGCTGATATTAAGAAGATGATCTCCATAGAAGGCCAGCGTAGCGATTAAGAAAAGGCAAGTGAAATCACTTTCAATGCAGTCTGAGTGGGGCTAGTGACCTAAACAGTCACACCAGGTCTAAAGTGTTACTTTAAACTATAACAATATTAACCACAACTTGAGACATTCACTGCTCAGTAGCAGGACTTTAAAGAAATGTTCCTATGTCATACATTATAGACCCATCTATCCTGGTATACTAGTATTCAGTTGATGGGCTTAACATAATAAAGCCAAAATGAGCCAAAAAGTGTTTTAGTAGCATATATTATGAGAATTTATACGACGCCAACACATTCTCCAGCACTTTACAATTAGAGAATGAGGATATTGCACAAGTAATTGACATATAGAATATTAACACAGACAAGAGGTGAAGAACACCCTTGCACAAATGAGCTTACAATTGCATAATATTTATAAAAAACTAAATTTGTAGTCCCTTCAAATGCACCAATAGTATGCAGCACTTTGTACCAGTTGATTACCTTTTTTTTCTTTTCTATGAATAATTTCAGCCAAAAATCTGACTATGGGCAAACAAAGTATCATAACCACAACAGCCTGTTGAACTATTGTGGCGCTATCAGGCTGCGAGTGCCATCGCCCGTTAGTCAGGACAACGTCATCATATGATATTAAACCGCCATATTTGATATAGAAACAGGAGAACGTCACCTCAACAATATTTTTAAATACAAAGACCCTTTCTATCAAGTTTTAAAAGGAAGTAGATTCTGTGTTAAAGGAACGCTATAGTGTTCTGAAAACAAAAGTATTTTAAATGTTCTAGTGCCACTATGCACCATAATGATTATTTGAGCACTGCCCCCCCAGTTAAAAAAAAAAAAAAAACACACAAACACACCTTTAAACACTTACATGATTTCAGTGCCCAGCACTGGGTCGGACTTCTCCTCAGACATCCTAATGCAAGCACATTAGCATTGATTCAATGTTTTGCTATGGGGAATTTCAACACTGGCAATACTCCTACAAAACATGAGGCTGTCCAGAGTAATACATACACACATGCGCATATAGACTACATGGAGGTTTTCAAACACGTTCTGACCCAAGGTGTATGTATATGGCTGAAGGATCCGGTCATATAATAAAATTTAAGAAGGGTAGGGATGGGTGGGTCTCTCAAATACGTACACGCGCGGAAAAACAAAATAAAGCATTAAGAATACCACGTTAAACATCTCTCCACCTGGAATTAGGATTCTCTGGGGAATGACCAATTAAACAGTTTGCCATCCAACAGATGGGTGTGGTACAGATTCTATGCAAAGGAATTTGCAACAGTTTTACAGTCTAACAATCTTCTCAGGAAAGAGTCATGGGATAAGTGAATTAAATGTAGAGACATGTATTCACTATAAGGAAATAAGATACACTGCTCAAAAATTTGGTCCCTGTGTGTGATAGTCAGGGCTGGCGCAACTGTTAGGCTAACTAGGCATTCGCCTATAGCACCGGCATGTTTCGTCTTGAGCCGTTTGCCCAGTCTGGGGCCGCAGCGCTGGGTGAGCGGCTCTTGTGCCACCCCCAACGCCGGGCCGATCCTCAAAGCGCCCGAAGGAGGGGCGCCAAGAGGTGGCCATCTGGCCACCCCAGGGCACTTTCGATGCAGTGCTAGGTAAGGCAGAGCAGGCACCTGCTTACCTTGATGGCAGGTGCCTGCTCTGCCAACAAATGCCAAGAGCCAGAATGACGTAGATCCAGGAGTGAGGAGCTGCCCCACACTGGATCCCAGGGAGGTAGAGTGGCTGGATGGGTCTGTGTGTCACACACAGTGGGACCTTGGTTTACAAATTTAATGCATTCTCCGGGACATTTCTTATGGCGAAAAATTTGTAAACCGAAATGCGGTTTCCCATTGGATGCACTGAAAACCAATTAATCCGTTCTGGAGATCAGAAAAAAAAAAAAAAAGTCAAAATGAGCTGGCATGGAAACCAACCCACAATGCAGAACACACAATAAAAGGCATGCAAACAAAGAAGCTCAGCTCCCAACCTTTCCACAGCTTGAGAAATGCCCCAAAAAGTCCCAAAACAACTGCAAACAATTTCCAGAATGGCTCCAAAACTTGATGCAGAAGCCGCTCCAACACCTCCACACTCGATGCCACATGCTACCCACAGGCTCCAGCATGCAGCGGGTGGTGCTATAAACCTCCCAGATGCAATGCATCCTGGGGAAAACTTGCTTGTATTGCGGAAAAAAAAAAAAATAAAAAAAAATTGTAAACCGAGGCATTTTCATTTGTAAACCAAAAATTCAGTGGGGGGTGAAGAGGGGGTGGCAAAAATCCTCTAATGAAAGAAACAGGCCCTCTTATGGCTGAGGTTGAAACTGGCTTCTCTAACAGTACTACATTAAAAGCAATTTAGAACAGTCAAACTGTATGGTGTCTAATTTCGCTTATCTCTTTGACAGTTACTCAAGTGTCAGTCATTTACCTTACAATGTAGTATTTGTAACATTAGCCTTTCATCACCTTCCAAGTCACCTAAGGTCTGTGTTTACATTCCATCTCTCCCTGAAGTGCTGCATATGAGATTGCAAGGGTTCACACATATGCAGCACAGGCAGGATGAAGTTTTGCAAAATCAGGTACATACTCAAGCTCCTGCAATAAGGTTAACAGGGGAGGAAGAGACATTGTGGACAGCCCCTTATTAATGCAACCATTAAAGGGACACTATAGTCACCAGAATAACTACAGCTTATTGAGTTTGTTCTGGTGAGAACAATTATTAGAGAAAATGCAGTTTTTACATTACAGCCTAGTGATAACTTCAATGGCCACTCCTTAGATGGCTTAGAGATCCTTCCTGGATCATGGCTGCCTAAAATGCATCCAAACATTCTGTGTCTCCTCCCTCTACATGCAGACACTGAACTTTCCTCATAGAGATTCACTGATTCAGTTCATCTCTATGAGGAGATACTGATTGGCCAGGGCTGTGTTTGAATCATGCTGGCTCTGCCCCTGATCTGCCTCCTTGTCAGTCTCAGCCAATCCTCTGGGGAAGCATTGTGATTGGATCGGTTACCACTTCTGATGAGGTCAGCAGACTGCTTGTTTTTCTGAGGCAAATAGCATGCAGAGTTACAGCTTCAGACTTGAATACAGTAAAAATTTGCTATATTTATGGAGGCATGAGGGACCAGATGTTGGTTTTAACACTATAGGGTCAGGAATACATGTTTGTGTTCCTAACCCTATAGCGATCCTTTAAAGAAAAAAAAATAAAGAAAATTAAAATCTGCAGTCCAAAGTGGGATTTTTAAACTCCGTTCTCAGTTTCAGGACTCATGAGTGAAATCACTTGCAGACAGTTCAAGTGGACTGGCTCGATTTAAAGGGGACTTAAATGCCACCCTGTGGACACAGTCTCGTTAGACCAGTGGGAAGCCCAGGCCTAGTCATTCACAGTCCCATCGCACATGAACAGACTTTCTAACACCTTTTCCCCGTAGTCTACCAGTGAAAAGCAAATACACAAGAACATATGAAAACAAAAAGATTTAGACTGAGATAAAAAGAAATTAAAAAAACAAATGCACTTGGAAGTATAAAATAATGCAGTCAGCTGTGATCCAGCATAACCTCGAAACCATAATGTACAAATGAAATTAGTTATAGCTACAGAGGCCTTGCTATAGCACCTAGCTATATCCATCACTGTTGTAACATGGTTTTATCCATTCAGCTTGTGCCATATATACACTGCTGAACTCACTTAAAAGTGGACAAATAAACTGTTAATATCCAACACAGCGCAACGTGAACACTGCACACATAGTAGATTACATAAAAATCTGTTCATGACTACACATTTCTCAACAGTCATTAAACAAGGCCAGAGTTTTCATATAAGTGGCTGCCGATCACTTACTGAATGAGGATTAACCCTAGTTTTTCCCCAACTGTGGAAAATATTTCAACCTCGGGGCTAGTGCCTGCCTCCAATGTCACTTCATCTAATTAATTCTGCATGAACAGAGGCAGTTTTCTAAGGCTTTCTGCAGTGGGGGTAGGGCAATGCAGAAGAAGGACAAGAGCCAAGAATCTTCCAAACAGCGCAGTGCAGCAGAAAAATCTATACCTACTTCAGCAATGACTATGCACTGCTTTGCAAGTGGGATTCAGGGAAAGCCTGCAGTTAGCATTGCATCAGGGAAGACTTACAAACATAGCTAATACAACATTCTACAGATGTATTTAAAAGGGGTTAACATAGGATCCTGGGACATGGCATTACCATCTTCATATAGAAACCAGATTACAAAATATACATACAGTCCTACCTCTTGAAGCTTTAAAAAGGTAATTGGTTCCCATGCATAGAGGTCATCAATTTTTCAAGACCCAGATAACGGTTCCATAGTACGTACTGCCTTTCCAAAAGCACCGAAAATCTAACAATTTGGACAGGCTACAAAATTTTACTTTTATTGAGCTTTTGTTACAGATTATATAATATGAATAGGCTACTGAATTCATTTTAAAACTGAAAAAAATGGAAAGCCAAACTAGTGCTAAATATATAGTTTAAATCTTGGGAATGGTACCTTAAAAAGGAACATACCAGACAGTGCATTTCAGCTTGCTAAAGTCTGTCATATTTGTTCATAACAAATTGTTCATAAAAGTTTCTAATTTTAATACAATGTGGTACTTTTCTAACAGAACAGAAATACCTCCCTGACAGCCCTTTTCACTTGTATTAGCTCTACAGAGCTAATAGAATGAGCAGGCACACTGGGCTACAACATGTGTCTTATCCCACTCTCAGTAAGATATACTAAAGCTCTCTGAGAAGCACCAAAAAAAAAAAAAAAAGTGGCAATCAACTGAGTATCCAGAACAAAGGCTTCATGATGAGTCTTCCCAGTATAAATAGAGGAGGTCTTGCAAAGGCTGCAGACAGTAGTTCTGCAGCTTTTGCAAGCCGTTTTTCCCCATACACCCACAGGAAAAAAAAACAAACATTTTTTCCTGTGTTACTTTTTAGTTGTTACAAAAGTCAATGGTTTGTTTTGGTTTTCTTTTGGAATGACAGCATCCAAATGCATGTTGTTGAAGATGTATTTACTCATAATGCTATTGCTAGCATTTGTGAATCACAACATTCTATTATGATGATCACTAAATTGCTTGCTTTTTGTAAAACAGAACCTGTAAGTTTAGTAAAGCCATGGAGGAATTATGGCATTTACTAATGATTGTGGGGTTTGTAAAAAGAAAGAACGAAGGAACATTCTACACCCAAGATATACACTGGAGGTCACTAGTCAATGAAAAAAAAGGCAGAGCACTACAAGTCCCACAGAATTTAAACCAATTAAATGCTAGATGGTGAGCAGCCATTTTACACTTTGTCATTGAAAAGGTCAATCAGAGAACGGATGGATTAATCTTAAAATCATGTGAATTCCAGGAAATCGATTGCTTACGGAATATGACAAAATCCTATTACAGTATTTACACTTATTTAAATACAGTAAACATCTATAGAAAACTACATTTTAACACACAAAACTAAATACCAGTAGTAACAAGCTAGTGTTTGCCTATCATTTATTGGTTATCGCTAGTGCTTGGGAGTGAATATGTTAACCAAGAGGTGATACAGCAGTTACATTTGAAAGAACAGAGATGGCATATTCATGTGAGTTCTGTAACTGTTACACTCACCTATTCATTCAACCTACGCACAAAATGAATAAAAACGAGGGCGGCAGGAAGAAAAAAAAAAAAAAAGTGCTGATAGGATTCTGAAATCACAAGACAGCAGCAGCGGGAGTGGAAATTTCCCTCTGAGCAGCATTAACAGGGTCTTATTTCCATTTCAATTGAAAGGAGGCGGCACATCACAAGAGCCCTGGGACAATCACGAAAGAAACAAAATTAACCATCTCTTAAAGTGGCAAGGAACTCTGATCATGGTGATAACCAAACAAACCACAGACTTAATATGGAGAAACCAGATTTCTCAAATAAGGAGGAAAATGGCCACACACTTGCTCTTGCCTCTACATGCAAGACATTTTTCTTTTAAAAATGGCAATTGCCAAGATTTATAGAAAACCCATGACATCATAAATGACAAATATATACAGAAAACTAAGCTGGGTGGATTTTTGCACAGCAGGTAGGTCAAGCTACAAGGTGTAATTCATGCCAAAACAATCCATGTAGAAAGAACAATTTAGTGGTCTGTACACAGGGCTAATTTGGAACAGAAGACCGATGTTGATATTCACCCATGCCTACTGGCAGGTCAATCAAATACAAGCGATGCATGCAGCAGATAAGGATATTTTTATACATGTGTTTATCTACTAAACTGGGAGATAAAGAATTTGCAAAAGAATTTAGCTTAAATTAGCCAAGCTTGACAAAATTGCTGTAATGGAAATGGTTTCCTCCTAGTATGGTCAGATAATTTGCAAATACTTCTCAATTTGCAGTTTAGTGAATTATTCCAACAGATGGGGAAAAGCAGGGACATGTCAACAGGGCTTCTGCACAGGGGAATTTAGGGTTGAAATACAGTAATAGTGTCTGATAATAAGGAACTCAAAGCAATGATCTCTCGGTTGCCAATGTGGTGAGCAAACCGTTGCTAGGCTGTTTGTGCTACCCATCAACAAATTTGTTAAAAATCCTAAAACAAAGTAATATGTTGGTATTTTGCTAGCAGTTTGTTACAGAATGGTTTAGAAACCAAGAAAATAATGTTCAAATTAAATTAAACCATAACACTAGCAAAAATTGGAGAAAGAACAGAATAAGATTCAATACAGAATGTATTTGGACGAGTGAAAAAACATGGAGTAATAGATTAAGCAAGATTAATCCTCTAGTTTATCTGAAAAGGGGGTAAACCAATTGTGCTCTTCACAGGAGATCAGCAGTTGTGGAAATGACAGACCATCCCCCTTTCTCAGAAAGGCAACGAGATTCATTCAAACCAGGAGATGCAGAATGAATAGGACAACTGCATCTATCATTATAAAAACTAGGATGCCTCATCTAGCGCTAAATACTATGTCTCATGCAGACCTGAGATTGTAACCCTCCTCCCAAATTAAAGGTGGGGGAAGCAATAACTAGACTCTTGAGGTGAGAAGGGATCGGTTGTCTTTACAGAAGATGGCAGACCTTCCCCCGCTTCCCACTGTCTCCCATCGACAGTCACACACAGAGCTATTTTTAGCCTCCAATGCGGCTGACTTCAGAAGCGCCCCCCACCTCCTCCTATCCACCATGAAATGTGTCACACCACTGATACAGAGACTTCCCCATCGCTGCCATTTTTAACTCTTGGGGCATCATGAAGAAAGGTTTGCCATTGCTAACCAATGAGTTGACGCAGTAAGAAGATCATATTGACATTATCTTACGAAACAACCAATATGTAAAAGAATGTGTGCTTTCTAAGGATTAACTATAGTGCCAAAGGAAGTCTGCATTTCATCTATGCATTAAAACAAAAATTATATAACTGAAGGAATGTTGAAATATAGATCTCTAATGCAGTATCTCTGCATACCAAAGATAGATAGAAAATATATATTTATATATTTTTTTATTATTTTTTTGAGGTCCAACAGACTTCCATCTTTTGACCACACCTTAGCCACATATAAAAAAAATAAAAATAAAAATCTACCCATCTAAATCAAGGAGATAAAAGTGCAAAGCTCATCAAAATCCCTATATGTTCCCACTGCCACCTACTGGACAGCACCTGCCCACAATCAAATGTTTAGGATCTACATAAAGAGCATCCCACAAGTGACCTTAGCCATCTGCAATTCCATCTCTGGGATAGGACACAAATGTTAGAAGCTTCAGTACCAACATCATCTCTTTCCAAGGTCCTCCACCAGAGGTCACCCTCCAACTAAGGTCTTTCGCCTACGTACTGAGCCTGCAAAAGCCATTCGTCCCAGAATATAATGTATGTCTCAGATGAGAGATAGAGATACACACACACACACACACACACACACACATACACAAAATGATGGACGCAAATTCACCACTTATTCTCATGACACTTGAGCAGCCCAAAAAAAGAGCTATCACTAAAATTGTTATTTAAAAAAAGGTTTATCATCTTACAATCTAAATGTCAATATTTCAAACATGGATAGTCACATATGCGAGTAATGCAGTGCTTGGGTAGCTCTGATTAACCAAAAATCTGCAATGGGAAATTGGCACCTTACATTTATTATCTTGCACCATAAAACAAAAGCCACTGAGAACTGGCATGCAGTTCTCTAGAATGGTGACAGTCACATCTTCATTATTGTACAGCACCACATCTGCTGCACATACATAGCATGAGATGCAATCTACACTTAAAAGATAGTACCAAGACCACAAATCAGAATACAATAAACCCCACCCCATAACGAACTAGCAGAAGATCAAAGATTACAGAAGAGAGAGACAGCACCCAAATGGTTAAGATATCTCCATAAATGCGCAGAAAATGATAGGGACATTTCAATAGTTATTAATACAGTCAAATGATGGACTGCCTGAATGACTAGGCTATATGAACTAATTTCTCATAAAAGATACATACAGATAACACAAAATCTCTCTCTCCAAATATCTATATGACATTGTAGCGCATTATTCCAATGATACAGATGTGAGAAAAAAAAATAAAAAAAAAATAAAAATTGATGACATTTATATTTTAGAATACCTCTTTTATTGGAGACTAACAGAATTTTGGAAAACATACAAAAGTCATCTGTTCATCTGAGATAGAGATATATTCCTTCACACGTTCTTTAGCGAAGTGATTTTTCTTCTCTATATAAAATTAAACATTAAGATCTATTTCATGCCTACTAGGGGAGATGCCCCATTTCTCTATACAAACAGAAATATACATATTTTACAGCAGAGCTTCCCTTCTCCGTACATAAAATATACAGGAATTATATAATTTTGCTCATTTTTCCTCTATGAAAGGAAGTGATGCTCTCTCCCTATTATATACATGTATTAAAATGGTGCTCCCTTTCTGTATAAGAAATATAGGACTTCCTATACATGTTTATGGACAGAGATGCTCCTCCTGACTTATTTATATATAAAAAGATACCCCATTATTAGTATCACCTGTTTTTGATTATATAAAAAGATATCCCATTATTCTCAGTGTCCCCTGCTTATTATTTATATAAATATATCCCACTATTCCCAATGCCCCCTGGTTTTTATATAAATATATCCCATTAGTCCAAGTGCCCCCTGATTAGAATTATATAAATATAACTCATTATTCTCAGTGCCCCCGGATTATTTATTAAATATATCCCATTATTCTAATTGCCCAGTTTTTTAAATTTTATTATATAAATATATCCCACTATTCCCAGTGCCCCCTGGTTTTTATATAAATATATCCCATTAATCCCAGTGCCCCCTGTTTATTATTATTATTTATATAAATATATCCCATTATTCCCAGTGCCCCCTGTTTATTATAATTATTATATAGTGTGCCCATTGAGGAGATGAAAGGTCAGGTATTTGCCCTATATTTGCCCCGCATGGTGGAAGCACGTTCCATGTTAGATGAAAGCCCTGACAGCCCAGCAGCTGCCTGTCTCCCTCCCTCCCAGCCTCCCTCCCTCCAGCAATGAATGACTCCTCACCCCAGCTGCTCGCCGTGCGGCCCAGGAACTCCCCGCTCCGCGGGTTATAGATGAACTGCTTCCACTCGGACACTGGCTGCTCCGGGCTCTTGTTGTCCTCCTTGGCCATGTTGCTGGGGCTGTCGGTTGCTGAAAGCTATGAATCCTGCGATGTACAGTGGGAGCCTACCCTGGACCAGTCCGTCCCTACCGGCCGCTCTCCAGTCTGAGGCCGCTGCGGCACAGGCACACGATTCCCCTGCAACGGCAGAGCGAAGGGCGTGGCCGCTCGGCGCCAATCACAAGCCGAGCACTGAGGCGATGGGCGACCGCTGTCGATAACTAGGACCAATCGGGCGATGCCATGGGCGTGGCCACGAGCTAGCGGTCAAACCTAGTGGAGGGCTGTCCTGCGCAGGAGGGTGGGACCGTTAGTCGCTCGGCCAATCACGAGCGTTGCTGCAGAGAAGCTGGGCGCGTGCATCGGCGCAGCATCTAGCGGTATCTGATGCTGCGGGTGGCGGGAGCGCGCTTTCACTCAAGGAGTCCTGGCAAGGCAAAGCAAAGCGTTTTGGCCTGGGAAGGGGGAGATTTTTATTTTTTTATTTTTTTTAAAGCTCGTGCGCGTTTCCGTTAGACTGTTGAGAGCGCGTGGCCTTCGCAGCGCGGGAACTGATATTCTCGCTCAGCATCCGCAACCCAGTCACGTGTCAGTGCCTCCAAGGCATGCGAAGGGCTATCATGTCCTCCATTCACCTATTGGATCAATCATGATAGCGTCATATATGATCATAGTGTACAATGACAGCCCCAAATACCCTTACAGTATATCAATAATCAGCCTGTACCTTTAACTGTAGAGGGTTCTCCAAAATATTAAAATGTGTCATAATTGTTTCTATTATTATGTAACTTAAAGGACTGCATGTATCATAGCCTCTGTCTTTACTTTGTAACAAATGGATATAAAAATAAATACTTCAAATCTTCATTTTAAGCTGGTTTGATCAGGGTCCTCATCAATTCCTGTAGCATTTTGTAATTATCTCGTTTACTGTTAAATTTCCTCTTTCATAAAATTAAAAAACGCTGCGTAATAAGTTGGCGCTATGCAAATGCCAAAAATTAAAAGTAATTAGTTCAGAAGCACCACTTATCTAGGGTTACCATATCCACGATATCTTCCTGGATGGTGGACGCATATAATTTAATCATGGAATTGCTGACCCGTAGTATGTAGCATTTATATGCTGCAGGACTCCTGACTAATTTCGCACCTGATTTACTACCTGCAGCATTTGACTTCTGCATACAGCATGGCAGTATGCTTTTTACGTTTCCCATCAATTTGTATCATTTATATGTGTCCTGAGAAACATGGCGGATATGGCATCCCTACACCTATCTTAGTAATAACTGTGCAAGTAATGAAGGGCTAGCGTGCATTCGTGAATCATCACCTCATTCTGAATTTCTAGACCTTCAAATTGTGAATAGTCTTAGCAGATATGTGGTGCTTCTAACCAAGAGGACTAAAGATGTCCTCCTCCTCAAAGCAGGGTTCAGCCAGGAAATACACAAATTAATAGGGTCATTGAATGACATTATTTGATTCTAACCAGAGTCTACACTAGTGGTATTCCATTACACTTTTAAATAGTCTATCTTCATATGTGTTCAGAAGAAGAACTATAAAAAAAAATGAGAGGAATACACTTCTAATGTTTCTAAGATTTCAATATGGTTTAATGTCTCTGCTTGTTATACATTGCCACCAGGATGACGTCACTAACATATGAGTATACCAAAACACAGGCAAATAAAGAATGTCGCATGCCACCTTGTGACGTAGCTAGGTTCAGAAAGGACTAAGGACATTCAAAAATTTATTGACAAAAGGGGTGAAATCACAATGTTGGTGTTGGCGTTAATCCAGGGTCAAGTGATGTCTCAACTACATAATTTAAAACAGAACCTTAGAGATCAAACTACATGGAAGATGACTGTCCTTTACTTCCACAACCAGTGAGTCACAAGAGACTGTGCAACCACCAGCAGAGGTGTAACTAGAAACATGGGGCCTGGTGCGAAAATTGCCCTGGTCTCCCCCATCCCCCATACATCCCTGCCCCCCACAAACACATGCAGACATACAGATACACATGCAGACAAACATACATGTAGACACATACATACAGACACACACATAAATACAAACACACATACATTCAGAGACCCATACATAGACACACATACACAGTCACACACATGCACTAACAGACACGCACATACACCATTACACACATACACCAAAGACAAATACACATTCAGACACACCCACATACACTCACAGACACACACACACACATACACTCAGATACACACACATTCAGACACACACACACACACTCTCAGACACACACACTCACAGACACACACACATACACTCACAGACATACACTCACCGACACACACATACATTCAGACACACATACATACACTCTCAGACACACTCAGACACACACACACACTTAGACACACACAAATTATTCATATTTTTTAAATTTAAAAATGTCCATCCAGCCTGCGATTGTGGTAAGTACGCCACTGACCGATAGTTATGCCACTTCTCTAATGTGCAAGCAGGACAAAATCCTATTTGCATGACGGACCATCTTAGGGGTGGTGATTGAACAGGGGCACACCAACAGATTGCGCCACAACAGAGCCCTGATAGCTCACCAGACGTGCAGTGGTGCCAATGCAGGACCGTCAGTATGAACTGGTGCTCAGTGCTTCTGAGGTTATGAGTGAAAACTGCCTCAAAGGAACACTGCGAGCAACATAACCACTTAAGCCTGCTGTAGTGGTTATGATATCAAACACCCACTACATCAGGTCTTCTGCATGAAAAGCTACATGTGTTCACTTAACTGAGACGGTCCAATACAGGACTGCACTCATTGTCTGAGAGTGCTCAGCTAGCATTCCTAGTAAATTATATAGGCCCTACACAGAGAATCTGGGAGCAGGTTGTGTGGAGCAAGTCTAACAGGACCCAGGGGAGTTTTCAAAACATTCTAAAACAGTTTGACAAATGTCTCTGGGAAGACATCGGGGCGCTACTAGCACCATAACCACTACAGCTGGTTATAGTGGTTATGGTGCTTGGAGTGTTCTTTTTAATTTGTAGATTAATGTTGTCTGCCTATCACTGGAAAGGTCAGGGCCAGTATACTATTAAACATAAGGCAGTATACATATAGGCAGACATGAGGCAGAACATATAGGGGTGTTTTTCAATTTCCAATAAGAAGACGCTGCCCTAGAGCAGGAGTAGGCAACCTTTGTCACTCCAGATGCTGTGGACTACATCTCCCCTTGGGCTTTGCCAGCAGTATGGCTGTAAGTGCATTATGGGAGATGTAGTCCACAACATCTGTAGTTTTGACTTCATTGTAGTATGTTTAAGCCATTGTACCATATTTTCCCTTTGATAAGCATTCTATTTTAGACAGAAATCAATCCTGTCACATAAAGGGACACTTAGAACAACATTATTCCCAGAGTTCCCTCAGTTAAACGTATAACTTTTAATGAATGGTTTCATGGAGAGTCTACTTTGACTTCAAGCAGTGGGCACTGCCAATGTCTTGTCTGCATTCATATTTCTCAATTAACACATATGCATTATCCATGTGAATTTCATCTGACCTGGACAATTCTAGGGGCAGCCACTCTCAGCCAATTAATGTCATCAAGATTGGAGGAAGGTGAAGTTGATATTGCAGAAGTATTCCTTCCACAATCAATAGGCTGAAATAGGGACTGTATCTGGGTGCTAGGAAGACCCTTGGTTTTTACCAAACTATTTTAAAACTAACACAGCACCGGGGGCCTCTAGGCATCTTAACCAGGACAGAATGCTATTTAGAATATTAGTATATTGCCATATTGTGATTGAAGTATTCATGCATATCCAAGAATAGTACAAGAAGTTAAGCTCTTAAAGGGTGGTTTCATTAGGATTTTCCGAGATGTCCAGCAGATGGCATTAGGTTGGTGGTACACATTTGCCATGATAGTCAAGATCTTGAGGGTCTCAAGAACATGACTTGAAGATAGCAATTTGCTAGGTGCAAAAAAAAAGACAATGCATTTAGACTACAAAAATCATCTATCATTATAATCTGTGTTATGGCCTAAGGTGATGAGACCTGTTGAACTATTACCACAAGAGGCCAGCAAGTGCCTAGCTCAGTAGAGAAACAAACTGCCTAAACTTAACAAACAGCTACATTTACTGTAAGAACACTATGCAACATTGTACCGAATGTAGACAGAAATACTAACAAATTGCTATATTACCACTTGAATAGCATTTGTTTTATCACAGGTAAAAGGCATCAGGGAAAGCTGTGTGACATAGGCCATATTTATCTCAGAGTTAGACTATGGTCAAAGATAAAATTGTATTGGAACTTCTAACTTTTCTGAGAATAATATCTAGAAGTATTTGGATTTTGAATGTATTCTTTTGCCTTTATTAAACCAAAGGATTGTCTTTTTCTCATGTGAATCTTTCTTTGAAAGAAAACAACAGTTATTCAATACTAGTTTCTATAAGTTCATGGTATGACTTTGTTTTCTATAAGTAAATAAAATAAGAATGTAAATCTATAGGTTGTACATTAGCCTACATACATCAGTGAAACACAGATGTCTGGCCACTGTTTGATAACAATTGGTGTTGATTAAAGCATTTACATAGTGTTATCATAATGAGATTGGGGATATAACATGTTAATTTAGGTATGTGCACCATACATTGTAAAACACCGATTGCATACAATTGTGAGAAAAATAAGCACATTTTAAATGGAGTTAACACAAGCTACCATGTGATAGCTTGTGAGTACACCTGCATTACAGGATAGTAAAAAAAACAATAACAACATACCATTTATTTAAAATATTGGATAAGCTAGCGTATAAATATAGGGTAGAAAGATGCAATTTTTTGCTCAAATTGCAGTTCAGATATACACAAAGCCAGATAAAACTATATGTTTACAGAAATGTAATTTTTCATGTTTTTTTTCCCAGTCACCCTATGAGATAATATAAGAGGAATAAAACATATGTATTCTATTTTGGTAGTTTATGAAGTATTAGCATGACGATAAATAAACTTTTTTACAATCTGACTACAGTGAAATAAAGAGTACTTTTTAAATATCCTTATAATTGGTATTTGTAAGCATTTTTTGGAATGCAGATTTTCAGAATCCCTTTACAATGTAAGGATAATTTGTTTATAATGTCACCATAAAGCAATTAGACTTGTCTGACTGTAATCAAAAGGTCTGTACTTCATCTTGTAGACTGGCATGAGGGGAGATATGGGTTTGAACCATTTAAATTTACATGTTTTTGTCTAACATACTATTTGGCTTAACTCGTTTTTGCACATCTATGCTTTATTTGAGAAACTTATTAAGTATTGCAAGAAACTTACTTTATAATCCACCTACCATCCCTAACTCTACCTAATCTTTCTGCAACGGATGACTAAATAGAATTTAAAAAAATAAATAAAACCTTTAAATTCATATATTTGTAACTCTTTAGGTAGGCTATACACATAATGTTGTGTTTGTTCTAATCGTATGCCCAAAATATTAAAGGGGAAATGCAACTAACACTTACAATTTTTTTTTATATGTTATTAATGATAGTTAATTAATAATAATAATATGATATTGTCTATATTTAACAAGTGTGTATTTTTGAGGTATGCAAAAATAACACTAGATGTGAAATACACTTCTCTTTGTCCTGGGCATGTTGCATAAGTGGATGAGTGCTGTTGGCTCAGAAGCTAAAGCTGGATTTTGGAATATGGGCCTGTTATATTTCTATCACAAAATGGGCATTGAGCTGCTGTTCAGTAAAGGACTCAGTTTACCATTTTTGTGGGCAAAAAGAGAACCATGTTAGTTTTTTCAAATAGAGTGCCATTTATTTTAGAATTAGCTGAGCTGCTGAGAATGTGAAGTGTTTGTTGTGCAGTCTGTGTTTTAGCTAAGCGCACTGTGGTTCTGACACTGAGTTATTCTCATGGCTGACGTATCATGTTAGCTCCAGTGGTGAATTGTGAATCTAAGCATGATTTTAGGAAAACAAAATCATTTATAAAGCTCTACAGAACTGCATTCCTCACAAGTTGTTCACTTCTGGAGGGGGCAGTGCTTCAGCAGGGCCCAAATTAATTTATCTGAGCAGCACACAATAAATACTCACAGTAATGTGTGTTGTGTATGGGGCATCACTGAGCTCCACAAGTATACAATGAACTTTTCCTATACACTACTAATATGCTATTTAGGAATTATGTCTTGTATGACTTCCACAACAATAAAACATACAGTGAATTGTTTAAATTGCTCTAAATGTTTATGTAAAAAAAAGTACATAAAAGTTCTTGAAAGCACCCCTTTTCGCCGTTTGTAATGTTAGGAAATACTTGATCATACATATTTAGTTGGGGTACTATGTGAAATTAACTTCTACCTTTATCTTTGTAAAATATGGAATTACTCTGGAAATAGGGCTATACCTATGAAGTCATACAGTCAGTCATGAGTCGTTAAAGGAGCGCTACTGCATTCAACCCAATGCTGGTGTTTAGAGAAGCGGAATGCTGTTGGGAGTCAGTGACGGCTCTGCCTGGAAATGAGTCTCTATAAGACCATCTGATTGACAGTCACTGCAATGTTGTTTACTTATAGGGATGTGGCACCCAGAACATTTAATTGAAATGAAGTGGTCCGGATGCCTATATGGTCCCTTTAAATTAGTGCCTTCACTATATTGCAGCACGTTCAACTGGTGCTGGAGTATAGTAAAGCTCCTATTCCTCATCTTAACTCCAAAAATACAATGCACATACAATTGTGATTCCCAGTAGGGCATACCTTAATGGATAATCTGCCGGCACAGTGCTATACCAAAGTGCTTCTTTGCTGGCTAGTTTAATGAATAAGTTATAATGCTTTAGTGCGTGGATGTATTACTTGAATTAAAATGAGTATGAAAAGAACAGCACCATATCGTAAAAAGATTAGAAAAGGTTATCTTCATCCTTGGTGGTATTTACACATTAACTTTTGTTATCTTGAACATCATTAAATAATGTTTACATGAGTATTTATTCTATCATTATGCCTTCATGTGGTATTTGCTAATCTCTGATAAGAAGTCAAAAAGATATCTAAGCCTAGCGTGTGTGGGAGGGTTTATCACATATGTTCAGTACACGTAACAAAACATTATTGCAAAAATGACCGGCTGAATAGGTGAAAAATCTAAAGCATTTAATAGGGCTGGATAAATACAATTTAACTCTTTTCCCATT